TCTCAAAAAAAAAAAAAAAAAAAAAAACCAAACAAAAAACAAAACAGTTATCTCAGAATAACAAAAAATTTTATAAGAAAGAAGTGTTTTGTTAAACTACTTGGCCTTTGTGAACAATATATATTTAGCCATAATAATTCAAATACTGTTACTTTTGGAAAAACTCTCAAACTGTGTTTTTCCCTCTTCTCTCACACCACAACAATCAACACAGGAAAAATCATCTGTGACTAAATGTGGGAGATTTTCTCCTCGCACCACTAGTGAACACTCTCCCGGTATCCTCTAATTCAGTTCTGACACTATGTACCTGGAGAGGGCTCGGTCCTCAAAACTACTCCTTCTCCCCTAGATGCTGGTAGCAGGTCCAGTCCTCCAGAACTTCTGACAGACTAGCTTCAAGGTGGAATTCCCACAACCCCTCTTAGTGTTTGATTACTTTGCTAGAGCAGCTCACAGGGCTTAAGGAAACACTTATTTTTACTGGTTTATGAGAAAAGATAAATTTACAAAGGGTGAGGTCTGGAAGCTGCTAGAGAGCAGGAGCTTCTGTTCCCATGGCATTGGGATGTGCCACCCTCCTGGCACACCGATGAGTCTTATTCACCTTCCTGTCTGTCTCCTCATGTTCAGCTCTCTGAATCCTGTTCTCTTGGGTTTTTGGAGGTTTCATTACAAAAGCATGATTGACAATTGTGTAGAAATCTGATTGGAGAAAAAGCACTTGATCTAAACCAAGGAAGACTTGTCTGTTCAGATGCTTCTGGCCTCTCTGTGCAACATTCTTTCTTCCTGGGTATGATGTAGGACCCTCTCTTGAATAAGGGTCTTTTGACCCAGAGTTGGGTTAGGTTCCTGCCTTGGGCAGTGGGAGAAAGTCAGAGAGAGAGATTCTGTCTTCTGAGGCCTGCTCCTGAGACTGAAGTGCCCTAACATTATAACAGAGATTATGGAAGTTAAGAGCCAGGAACTGTGGATAAAACTAATATATATATCATAACTGACAACTGTTTATTGACTTAACTAAAAATATTAGAAGATGTAAGGGGTAAGGATTGGTGTTAGAAAGCTAAATCAGAAAATGATTTTGCTGATTTTGTTTTATCCTTAAGTAATGTTCTACATATTTATACCTACTCTTTGAAATGCTCCATCAAGCATGGGCAGCCCCATATTATTGAGTTAAATGAATATCAGAAAGTTCCTTTGCTGATTTTTTTTTCAGAAATTCGTTCTGAAAGCTTCTGGAGCCAGATTGCCGGAGTTAAAAATCTTTAATAGCTTGGTAAATTGTGTAACTCTGGGCAAATTGTAATAAATAACCTCTTTTTGTTTTAGTTTCCTTATTAGTAAAATGGATACAACAAAAGATATGTTTGTTTACTGGTTTACTGTGAAAAGTAAATGCATTTCTCTGTGTGTGTGTATATATACATATAAACATATATATATATACACACACACATTAATGTTAGCTGTTACGATAGTTGGTAGTTTTTAGATAATATGTAAAATTGATAAATTGAGAAATAGCAAAACACATATATGGAAATATGGAAATAAGTACTAGAAAAAAATAGCTAAAAGAGTTAAAGTGTTTGTTTCTGGGAAATGGTACAGGGGAGTATATATGGGAATAGCTATGGCATTTTAAATCTTTTGTCGCTAGTTAATTTGACATATATCCGTGTATTACTTTGATAAAAATTTGGAAAGTGATTAAGTCTGTGTCATAGTCTCAAAGCAGTGGCAAGGGAGGAAGGACATTATACACAACACTGAAACTGTCCTCAAAGTCCCTGCGGCAGAGTAGCTACTCACCGGGCTCTGTAGGGCTAAGGATGGAATTTTTGTGGCAGTAAGAAAGGTGGTTTCCAGTGTTGGAAGTTAGGATATTGAAAAACGACTGATGATGGTCCAGTTAATGGAATTTTTAGAAATGGAAAGGTATTTTCACTCTAAAATCATTACTTTGTTCTCTTTCCATTCTCCATATGTGTATTTGGAAGCAAGACTGTAAATCCAGTGTACACTCAGGTGGGGAGGAGAGGTTGAGCGCCAACTTCTGGAGTGGGAAGTAGTTCCATTTGTTATTTGGAATTCTTTTTGTGAGGAAGATTTATTCCTTCTCCCTCATTCATTTATTTATTCAATCATTTATATTATTAAGGCTTTTTTTTTTTTGAGACAGAGTCTCAGTCACCCTGGGGTAGTGTGCCATGCATCATAGTTTGCAGCAACCTCAGACTCTTCAGCTCCAGCAATCCTCTTGTCAGCCTCCAGAGTAGCTGGAAATACACATGCCTGCCCTGCTTGTTTTTCTATTTTTATTTTTTCGTTATTATTTATTTATTTTTTTTGAGACAGTTTCACTATGTTCCCCTAGGTAGAGTGCTGTGGTATCACAGCTCATAGCAACCTCAAACTCTTGGGCTTAGGTGATTCTCTTGCCTCAGCCTTCCAAGTAGCTGGGACTATAGGTGCCAGCCACAATGCCCAGCTATTTTTTGGGTGCAGTTGTCATAGTTGTTTAGTAGGCTCGGGCTGAGCTTGAACCCGCCAGCTTTGGTGTAATTGGCTGGCGCCCTACTCACTGAGCTATGGGTGTTGAGCCAGTTTTTCTATTTGTACTAGAGATGGGGTCCCACACTTGCTCAGGCTGGTTTCGAACTCCTGAGCTCAGGGAGTCCACCCAGCTCGCCCTCCCAGAGTGTTAGGATTACAAGGGTGAGCTACCACGTCTGGCCTTTTATTTTACACTTTGTGTTATAATCCAACACTATGTTATTTATAATGTTTCTGAAATTGTTCCATTTTTGCCATTGATAAGATTGGCTTCTGTGTCACTTTGACATGACCTATTGTTTTGTTTTTTGAACAGTTCCTTGCTTTCTGTGCATAAAGAGCTACAATTATCTTCAAGGTGATGTAGTACAAAATGTGATTACTATTGAAATTAAAACTTGTCAGAATAAATGATCTAATTTAAACAGATTTATATTTTTATAACCCTAATCATTATATAGATTAATATTATCTTATTTGATCAGTAAACGTATGAACATATCTAAGTAGAATTAAAAGGTATACTTGTATTATGCTTTGCATCGATAAATCAGAAACTTTACCTCTTTTTATTAAACTGTGGTCATTAGTAAAAGACTTGTGAAAGTTATATGTAAAGTTATGAATCCAATTTTCATCATGAAAGATTTAAAACAATGTTTAAGTAAAAAATCTGTGTTGTAATTAATTTTTTTGTTAAAGGAAAACAAAGTGTTGCGGACAGTTCCTCTGTTAGCAGCGTGCCTTCCCCAGGACAGGTGTAAAGTCAAGATTGGTCGTCGCTTCAGTGAAGAAAGGTAAATTAACTTAACCCTTACAATAATTTAAAATAATTCTTTTCTATTTAGATCTTTAAAAACAGTTTCTTTCACATCCTCATTAGACTCAAACTGGAAATTTGAGTGATCAAACAACTTTAAGTTCTGCCTCACCCCCCCCAATCATATAAGACAAAACAAAGCAAAACAAAAAACAGAAATAAAAACACATAAAGCAAAATGGCATGAACAAAGGAATGATAACATTATCTGAATTCCATAGTGATGTATGTTGAACCTAAAAGGCAAATGTATTTATTATTTCATTTTGTTAAAAGTGCCTTTAGGATGATAGTGTTCTTATATTAGATTTAGTTCAGCTTTTTCTTTGGTATCTAATATAGTGATTACTCAGTAAATTATTATTCCCTGATGACTTTTTAATTAAAGCAGATTGAGACTATTGATTTAATGTTTATCTAATAGTGGGATGATTAATTAAGGCTTTTATTATTTGTAAATGGAATTTAAAAATGTACATTCTCACTTATTTTCTGTTAGTATATCAGAAAATGATTGATTTTTGTATATTAAATCTGTATCCAGTGAATTCACATATTAGTTATAGAAATTGTTTTGTAGATTCCCTGGAACTTTCTATATAAGCAGCATTATTGTCTGTAAATAGAGTCATTTTTACTTCCTCCTTTGTGATATTTATACTTTTATTTTTTTCTTGACTTATTGCAATAACTGATAACCTTCAGTACAAATTTATTCAAAGTGGTGAAAGCCAACATCTTTACCTTGATCTCAATCTCAATCTCAGGGGACATTGTTAGTTATATTGGCTATATTTACCTCCTCACCAGTATTACTGAGGTATAATTGATAGATAAAAGTTGTATGTGTTTATATATAAATATTGTCCCCACCCCGGCCACATTTTAGGCCCTATGTAGTTCCTGATCACAGAGTGGGAGTCCCATACTATGATGGGTCAACCTGAGCCTCCTTAGGTGCCCTCTGAATGAGGACTAGCTCTGGGTAGGGAGACCCTTATCCAGCTCAACACTGGGACAGAATCTCTGCCCCAAAACCCACCTCCCACTCCTCCCCCAGGAGGGGTTGGGACACAAGCTTGAGGCAAAGACAGGAATCCTGGGCTTGGCTCCAAGGGTCTAAGCACCAATTCAGGTGGTAAATGGTCCAGTTCTCAGAGGTGATTGGGTCCCTGACTACCCCAGCTCAGCACCACCTGAAGGGTTCAAGTACATGGTGGAAAGGAGTAAGATATACTGGGTCCCAGGATGGAGAAAAGGATGAGGAGAGAGGGAGGGTCTGTGCTCAAGAGAGAATGCGGCCAGTGTGGCAAAATTGTATACATGTACAGTATACAGTGTGATGTTTTTATATACCAGGTTGGATAATTCATTATATGAACTCATCCTAGAAAAAGTGCTACATACCTCACTGCTGAGTATCACTATGGTCACCTTCAAAGTATTCCCCTTGGGAAGCTGTGCACTGACATCAGCGACGTCAGCACCTAGTCCATCCTTCAAAATGATTTTGGAACTCTTTGTCTGGAATGACCATCAGAGCTGTCATTGCATGAAATCCGACAGTTAAGTTCAGGAACTTGCCACCATGTGCTTATGTTGGCAGCACTGTACAAACAACTAAGGTTTTATAACCTTTGTATATCAGTTGGTATATGTGTCTCACAGCTGTGTTCACGTCAACATGTAGCAGTGTCTTTCTGAGTGGCGTCATTATTGGTGCTGCATATTTTTGTGTGCCATGTGATAACATCTCTGACAGTCATTCTAGAAAAAGAGTGCCAAAATTGCTTTGAAGGGTGTACTGGGCGCAGGCATCAGTGCATAGCTTCCCAAGGGAAGTACTTTGAAGGTGACTATAGTGATCTTCAGCATTTCAGCATTGAGGCAATTAGCACTTTTTCTAGGATGAATTTGCAAACTTAATTGTTAGACCTCATGCAGTTTTAGCCATGACCACCTGATGACTTTGATTCTGTATTTTTACATGTCTCTCTGGTTTTTGGAGTGTTTTCCTGTGGCCTCAATTCTTTGATGGATCAAAGAAAAGTTGTTGGTTTTCAGTTTGCTATCATTTTTCTTGTGAGGATAAGCTTGACACTTTCAAGCTCTTTGAATGTCTGAGCTGAAATTGGAAGTCCAGATTTTCACATTGTCTTTAACTGACATAACTTATCTCCTTACCCCTCAAGATTTTTTTTTTTTTTTTTGCTTGTGGGCAGAGACTATCTCATTAAATACCCCTAATTCGACCAATGACTAGAGGTAAGGGAACTTTTATTAGAAAATTCAGCAAGCATAATAAAATATTTTTTCTCTACAAGTTAATAAAGTTACATTAAAAAAATTCTTTTTTCAGAGATCCTGAACTTTCGACTGTTTGTCGGAACTCTGGTACATTAATATTATATCCAGGTGCTGATGCTGCTAATTTGGAAGAATTTATATTAGATTCTCCTGTTTATCCTTCCACAATCATCATTATTGATGGTACATGGAGCCAGGCTAAGGACATTTTCTGTAAGAATTCCTTGTTCCGACTTCCCAAACAGGTACACTAGTATTTTAACAGAGAAAAAATGTGGATGTGTATTTATGTATATTGTATATGTTTTCTGTGAAACATACATTTTATATATGAGTTTGGAGATTTTTATTTCTGTGAATGTATATAGATAAATATATGCTTGTGCGTATGTGTTTGGATATATATGTATGTAGAAAATTTCAAATTTGTCATCATTTCTCAATTCTTACTGCCAAACTGCACTATAGTATAGGCATTTGGCTATACTAAATGTCTCTCAGACACTTTTTTTTATATTTAATTTTTTTTAAATTAAATCATAGCTGTGTACATTAATGCAGTCATGGGGTACATAGTGCTGGTTCTATATACAATCTGAAATATTTTCATCAAACTGGTTAACATAGCCTTCATGTCATTTTCTTAGTATTGTGTTAAGACATTTATATTCTACATTTAGAAAGATACACATGTACTCTTGTAAGATGAACCATAGGCGTGGTCCTACCAGTCACCCTCCCTCCACCCATCATCAGACACTTAATCTAAGAAGTGTAATACCTTGTAATCAGTGTTACCATATTTAAATATTTTTATTATATTTGGTTACTAAATTGTTGTACTTAGTCTTATTAGGAATGATCGAATTTTTATGAAATACTTTTTGTCATTCATTTCTATAATTATATGGTTTATTCCTCAATTTGTTGGTAAAATTGATTATGAAGATATATTGCCTAATATTAAAGCATTACTGTATTCCTGGAATGCAGTCTATTGAAAAGACTATCAGAAAGTTTTGAGATATTGCTGGAAGTTATATTTTATTTAATAGAATTGAATTATATATTTTTATACTTTGATTATCAGTTTTGTATACTAAGGTATTGTTAATTTTACAAAATAAATTTGAGATATTTTAATATTTTTCTATGGCCTTAAAGATTGGACAGGACTCATTGATGAAACCTCCTGGTCTCTTAAACATGGTAGTGTTTTTTTTTTT